TAATAATAATAATAATAATAATAATAATAATAATAATAATAATAATAATAATAATAATAATAATAATAATAATGATGATGATGATGTAGTGACTACTCATAAAAACCAATTGTACAGGCCTAACCAGAAAAGTCCAAATGAACCATCATTTTGTCTAATTGATAATTTGTGTATTTGTTGATGCTTTCTCAATAAATGTATGTCTTAAACGGGAGTTCTTTTATAAGCTCAGTAACAACATCATTTGCCTTAGATTTTTCCAATAGTATTACACTGGTAGCAATTATTTTTATTCAGGCTAACTTTTTTGAGCTGTGCTATTGAACACAACTCCTCTTTATATAAGAAGAAAAAAACCCAGCCAAATAGAATCTAGCCCCGTGCTGAATTCTAGCAATGGTAATTATACCCATATATGGCCCTTTGTAAATAGATTCACAATAACTAATTTTTCTAATGATTCTGTTTTGTAATAGGAATTCATTGATCAGCTTACAACTATTCTGTGCAGTATTCTCCAGTTCTCCCATCTTTCTGAAGTTAAGCAATCAATTTGCACCCCAAAGAAAAACTTACCTCAGTTCCAACAAAAAAGCTGGTATTTATATTTTCCAGCAGCTTAAGAGGTTTCATTGTTGTGCCCTGGATCTCTGCATATGGAATTTTTTCTATGGGTTCCTCTTTGCTTTGTTTATTTGGGACGGCTGTTTTGTCTACAAAAGAATTGGAGTAAGATTGTGAGTAAAACTTACATAATCAATTATTTGTCTCATTCATCAAAACAGGTTAGATGACTGGAGGACGAGAGATGTTTTAAAAATGACAGGCAAATAGGAAACTGATTAACTTTCTTATCAACTACATAAATAGCTCTGCATGAACTGAGGGCTTATTAACTGAATGTTTCAGGGAAGCTGACAAGTTTTGCCTGACAGAGATCAGAAAGGAGGAAACTTCACGATCTTCAGTTTAGAAAAGTTATAAAATATTTTTGCATTATGTACTGTATTTATTTATCAAATTTTTACAGCTACCTATCTCTGGAGTAGGTGATTCTGGGCAGCATACAATTAATGATTCTGGGTGTGGTACCATAATTGACCATTAGATATAAACTCTAGGAATGTAAACTATACTTAATATTATCTACTAGATATAAGATGAATGAGATAATCAATAATCATAATCACGATTCAATCGAGTTCAGTCCTTCATTTGCTTAGACCTAGTGGAAGGAATCTTGCCAAACTCAAGCTATAAGCATTTAATTACTAAATATACCCTGAAAGATGCTAGGGTATGGCTATTCTGAATCAATTTCCCACTCTCTGATCCAACTCAGGACTATGCAGTCTCTTAATCTGCTCCTTATCTACTGCTAATTTCCCCAAAACATAAAAATTGCTTACCTTGAATTTTGGTGTGATAGTGCTCTTCTCTGAAGCTAAATCTTATTGGACTATATTCAGCACTTGTATCTGCCTTGGGCAGATTGATCTGGTTTAGGATTTTAGAAAAGGCATTTAACAAGATGTATAATGGGGAGGGGGGGGGAGAGAGATGTGTTCGTTGAACAAACAATGCCAGAAACCTATTTATACTAGCACAGTCCTCTTTGGGTAGCAAATATAGAATATAAACCAACCAATATTATATAAGATAATTTATGGTTCCTAATGCATAATAATCATAGACACACTATTAATTGATTTTGTAATTAGCATCTGACTGTTTGATTTGTTTCCATTTTTAACAATACATTTTAAAACAATATGAAATGACAAACTCAGAAGAATTTAATGCTATTAAATCTTCTAAGATCAGTATCAGTATTATTATTTTTTTAAATAAAGTTTGGCTATTTCCTGTTAAGATAAAGCTATTTTTGGTACATTGCATTTAAAGATATTATAGTACTGTTAATTAAAAAAAAAAGATATTTCACATTAGTTAAAGGTCACAAATATATATGTATTATATAACTCACATAAAAATATTATTGGCTTTGAAAGAAAGGCATGAACTTACATTCAACAAAACAAATAAAGCTTTAACATAGGTAATAACTTGACACTGAAAAAGAATCATGAATGGGCATGACCAAGCCATATGAGTTACAGAACTCTCTTGCAATACCAACACACAAAACAGGTTATCTAATCTTCTTGAAACATTATTTAAGGAGCTCATTAAACATGGTACAAGATTTTTTAATGATTAACTTTATTCTGGTGGGCTGGTTTTAACTTCATCATCAGTGAACTAATTGCTTTAAAAAAGAAGTGGACAGGATAACCCAAAGAAAGAATAATAGGGATGAAAGAAACCCAACCCCAAATGTATTTTTTGAATTCATAGCTCCCTTTATATTAGATAAAGGTTATAACTGCTATACTAGAATGAAATTCATTCTAGCTGTAGTAGAGATTAGGGATCAAATTTGGGGAAATACAAGAAAAAATGTTTATTTTAAAGCTGATTTCTGGGTGTATACCCGTTGGCATGTTGGTACTTTAATTTTATAAACAACATTTAGCTTTCTAGTTGCTGTCTTGGCATGGAAGGTAGGAGGAACAGCATCAGAGGAACTGTCCAATGAGGACTACAGGGGTTGGTTGTCCAGACTGAATACTTGTATATCTGTAATAGGATAGGCTGAGCCTAAGGGCGGTGTCAAGAGAGGAATCAGCCTGGAGTCATTATATTCCTATAAATAATTCAACCCCTCGTGAATTCTGTTAACCCTAGCACCAATCTAGTGCTGATGATTTGTTGACCAGATTCTTATGCATAGGCATGAGCAATAAATCAGTTTAATTAGTGCTTATTCTGTGGTCTTGATCCTTTGTGCCTGAGAATAGCACCACCACAGTACCCCAAGCAGGACATTTTTTTTTCTTAAACTGGCTTAGAATTCATCTAGCACAAACACGGGGCAGAAGTAGTTTGAGGCTGCAATGTGGAATTGTCAAGAAATTTTCCAAAAAAGGAGGGCTAAAACACCACTTCCAATAATAGGAATTTCCCCTCCCCTTTTCCTATTGGACAATCACAATTCAAAATGAAAAAAATGCTGCATTTTTCAAACAAAATACCCATCAATTGAGATATTGAAGAATAATCTAGTCTAGTGCCATGTGGAGTAGATAGAAAATGTATCTTTCTGCATATTTTAAATTGACAATTAAATTAAAATATTTTCATATATCTACTAAGTTGAATGTCTGGTGATATGCATGGAGATCATTCCAATTTGGGAGTAGTTGAATTTTTTCCATTAAGTTTTTTTTCAATTTGGTTCTAATTAAAATTGTCAAAAAACAATTATCTGGACAACCTGTTCTCCCCTTAATTGCTTTATAAAAATGATCCATACTATCTGGCAATTTCCATTTTTTTTTAAAGACAAAACTTGCATTGCCTTCTCTTTCTCGATGCCTTTGGGGAAGTAAGATCCAGCTTCTCAGATTCTGGCATATGGAGATCACACATGATCTTCCATTTGTAGCAATGTTTCAAGATACTCCTATCTGAACCAAATTTCATCTTTTGGGAGAGGAGATGAGAAGACTAAAAATTGGGTTGAAATGATGCATCTTCCCTCCATCTTAGTCATTCTTTAAAGTTCTCTGCATGTTTGTGCTGTACCTTTATGATAGGTTTCCAGGCAAGGTCAAGGTGTTTGAAGGTGGTGGGCACATCAGGTGGAACAATAATAATACCCTCTTCCTTTTTCTTCTCAAGTGAAGGTTGTAAGGCAGGCCTGTAAGTTCGGAGATCCCAAACATATATTGTGCTAGATAGATGGGAATAACAATAAAACCGAAAGAGTGAAAGGTTGACTTTTGTATCAAAACTAAGTCTGAGTATTTTAATTGGAATTGGTATCTGCTTAACACACAAAGTGATAATGGACTGGGGAAAATATGAAAAAAAACAAGAAAAGGGTTCTGAAATCAAAGAAATAACAGAGATTATTTATATTCTGCCTCCCAATTTTGACATCATGATTTGATAAGTTACAATCCTGGTTTAAAGATATATTTAAATCATGCCTCCCTGAATGAATCACTGGAAAAGGTCATATAAGAATCTAGAATATTTTTTGCTAATTTGGGCACATAAGAACTAACAGGGGGAGGGAACACACAAACATATAACTGCATCTTGATATAATAAATTTTTGAATAAAATATTACCAGTCTGGTGAACAGGTCATCAGCTGCACACAAATTCCAGCTCTATTTTCAAAAACAGTACCCATCCTGTTGACCTAAGAAAGATTAAGTAAAATACCATTTCATATTAGAAACAGGAGAATAACAATAATAATTAAAAAATACTACAAACAAATAGATGTTCCAGGATGGGCAAACTCAGAAGTTGGAGGAGGCAGTGGCCAAATGTGGAAATTGTTTTTGGGTTTTTTTTTAGCCAGTGTTACATTCTCCCAGGTTTATTCAAGGTTGCACAATATTTCCAATTAAAAGAAAGTAGAAATCCGTACACAGATATTCTAGAAACGTTCATGTTCATTGACCATATTTAGAAACACCAGTTTTGTAACAGGCTTACTAATTTGTTAAATAGCCAGTTGTTCTTGGTTCACTGATACACTTACTTTAGTAGAAAGTACAATAAATGTAACATCAATTTCCAGTTTAGAAAATAAAAAGTGAACATACTGCATATAATAATGAGCACTGTAGTTGAGCACAAATGAAAACCCTCCAAATGCTTTACAATATTTTTCTGAAGTTATGCATATGTAATTTTTCTTCCACAAAATTTCTTGCACACCATATGAAAGAAATGTTCTTGTGAATCAGCCCTTAGATTCCACAAGAATAAATAATGCTGGGGTTGTTATTTATTGCAAATTGAGACACAGAGACTGTATTTTAAGTATTTATTTGTTAGGTTTATAGCCCAACTTTTGTTTCAAGAATCTGAAGAAGCAGAGAGAATACTATGTTGTCTGGTTATCTCAAAACCTATGGAAGTTGTTTGGAGGAGGGTTGAGCTAGTGATGATTTTGAAGATACAAAGGGAGTTTCCATCACTGTTTGTGGAACTAATGTTAGGTTCCTCTGACCTCTTCTAGTACAGCAATCTAAGAATTCTCTGGGACTCCCATAGTGATAAGTAGTTTGTGAAAAATCACACCCCATAAAACTAAAGAAAAATAGCCAAACACTGCCACCGTGAATGTACCATTCTTTTAAGCTTTTCTCAAAACTAGCTTAGGCTTAACCAAACAAATCAAGACCACATTTTGATAGCCCATTTCCTGCACAAGTCCAACAGGGCTTGCACTTTTTATATGACACACCTCCAAGTTGCTCATGATAGGGGGTCATAACCCATGATTTGCAAACCCCGTTAAATATTCTACGAAAAATATGCATATAGACTACATTTACATCCAATACTGCCTCAAAACGACACGTAGCTGGATCTTCGCTCATTTTGCTTTCACAATAGCCACCTCTTGAAGTAAGAAGACTGAACAAGTCTGGTGGTGACTGGATTCCCCCCCCCCCTTAATGGCTCACGAGAAAAGAGTCATATTTGAATCTTACCTCAAAAAAATCTGGCAGCCAGTGTATATCCGTTATTATAGATTTATGGCCATATTCTATAGATGAGACTGCACAGTACCTCGCCAAGTGTGGCTCCTTCCCCATTTGTTGTTCCAGTATGAAACTGGGCTAAAAATTGAACATGACCTGTTAATACTTAAGAAGAAACCAGCTATCATTCTTTTAAAAAAACCAAAATTAAGCTTATAAGCAAGATAGACGGCATGTAAGTTTAATAAACAAACAAACAAACAAATAAATCCTTTATTTAAAGTAGAAGGATCTTCGAATATTCACAGAAATGGATCATGCATATGCCATCATCAGTGGGAAGAAATAAGGAAAATATACTGGCTGGGGGGAAGGGGGAGGGCTGAGCCACTCAAATATAACAAAGTCATTATTTCTTGTAACATGGGCACAGATATTCAAGCCTCAAATATCCCTTCTCTCTTTCCTCTCCTGTCCAGGAGACATAAGGTTTGAAACATTCAGTTTTAAATAAACCACACTTTTCTGTCGTGTCAAACTGAGATTTGTTTAAACAATAGTACCATAGACCTGACCCTTGATTTTCTGACCTGAGCTACGGTCAAAACAAAGCTTTGAGCCAATTTTGGGCTGAACGTGAAACTTAATGTTTGTTTGAAAGTCCAAGTGAAAACTCCTAATATCTATTTAGCCCTATTGGAGGAGGTGTAGGAAACTTAGACCCTTCCAAACTTACTCACATACAGGTATTTATTTATCTAGGAGTAAGTAAGGAGTAATTGACAGCAGGGAAGAAGAATAAGTATGGAATACTCACCACATTAACTGTTGTGCCAGTAGTAGTGCCTGATTTGGCACTTTTTAACCTTTCTTCATATTCTGAAATATCCCACAACACAACCTGGCATTGGAGCAGAACAACAGATTTGACAATCTAGTACAGGAGAGGTGTTCAAAACACATTTCTTCTGCATAATATTCCCCCCATGATGAAACTATTAAAATTCCCAAATTCTAGCTTTTCCTGTGTACAATGCTAGGATTATATGTGAAGGCATAGAAAGGAAGGATTTTTTTTTTGTTTCAATATCAGAAAGTGTTGCATTGTGGGAAAAGATACTCGAGACCCAGTTGACTTTTTTCTCTTTTTATTTTCTTCTAGGATCTGAACACGGAGAAACCACGGCAGCCTTTTTTATAGCCAGCTGCTCGCGGTTCGTGGCCAATGACGGCTCTTCAAATCTCCTGCCGCCACGGACCAACCCATCATAGGTAAGTATGCAAATATATAACACCATGTGGTCCAGTCTAACCAATCCGGGCCCCGCCTATACTACGTAGTCACGTAAGTAGGCGGGGCTCTTATGGTTCCGACTGGACCTGCGCAACTCAGTCGTGAGTTCGCCTCTGACCTGTTCGGACAGGGTTGCTGTTTCTCCCATCCTTTTCCGTGGGGCCTCTTGGAAGGTAGAGTCGGCCATGTTGCTCCCGCCAGGCCTTTCCTGGCTGGATGAGTCAGCTCGGCCGCTCCCGCCAGGAGAGGCTTCCTGATGGTTCTTCAAAGCCTGCTCCAATGTCCCCAAGTTGTTTTCTTCTATGGTTTCAGGTACGTGTTTGCAATTTCCGATCGGGCCTAATGTTAGTATTGGTTGTTGTGTTGTTGTTAGGGTTTGTTTTGTCAATTCTTTTACTTGTGGAGGGTCTCCCCCTCCCCTTTTGTTTGTGTTTGAGGGGTCTCCCCCCTCTCTGGTTTGGTTGTTTTTGCTTAATGTTTGCGGCAATTCTTTTATTTGCGGAGGTTCTCCCCCCTCTCTGGTTGGGTAGTGTTAGTGTTTCTGATTGTTAGTGTTTCTCAGTGTGGTCCTCGATCTGATTTGGTCTATGTGTCTCCTCCAGCTCCTCCTGTCCTCTGTGTCTACCCTGTATGACTGGGGCCCTGTTATTTGGGTTATTTTTGCCGGTATCCACACTGATTCCCCTGTGAGGTTCTTTGCATACACTAGGTCCCCTGTTTTGAATGTGCGGCACTTACTGGAGGAGTCTGCTGGCTTTTCTGGGCTATATGTGGGGTGTAGTCTGTTTAGCTTTGATCTTAGTTTCCTTCCCATTAATAATTCTGCTGGACTTTTATTTGTTGTGGTGTTGGGTGTAATGTGCTGTATACTTAGTAGTTTGTCTATTTTTTCTTGTATATCTCCAGGTCCCAATTTGTGTAGTGCTTCCTTTGTGTAATGGACCATGCGTTCCCCCCGTCCGTTCGTAGCCGGACATCCCGGCGCTGTTAGTGCATGCCTTATCCCTTGTTCTGCCAGGAACCCCTCAAATGTTATTGCCGTGAATTGTGGTCCGTTGTCGGATACAACTAAATCTGGCGATCCATGTGTCATAAAAAGTTTCCTTAGTTGTCTAATAACAGCTTCTGTTGTGGTTGAGTGCAACATGAGGAATCGGTTGATGTAGGATTCCCAGTCCTCAGTTGTTGGGTTGAATGGTGCGGGTGGCGAGTTGTTCCCGGCCATTTCGTCTCGCTCAGTCCTCATTGCCACGTGCTCAACTGGGCTCCTTTGTCTCAGTATCCCATCTTAGTCGCCAGTGTTGCGTTGTGGGAAAAGATACTCGAGACCCAGTTGAGTTTTTTTCTCTTTTTATTTTCTTCTAGGATCTGAACGCGGAGAAACCACGGCAGCCTTTTTTATAGCTGGCTGCTCGCGGCTCGTGGCCAATGACGGCTCTTCAAATCTCCCACCGCCACGGACCAACCCATCATAGGTAAGTATGCAAATATATAACACAAAGGTAGAAGTTATAAAAGTTGAAAAGTAGCAGATTGAACTCCAGATTTGGAAATATAGTAGTGACATTCACAGGTCTCTTATCTATTATCTGGACCATGTGTTTTGGAAAATTGAGAGCAGGATTGGTCATCTGCAGCCCAGATTCTCTCAATCTTTTTTATGTGCCATTAAACATTATTAGGAAAAATTGGGGGAGAGACCATAATTTATTACACAATGCAGAAAAGATACACAATGCATACAAACATATAGTTCAATGCTCACTTTAAAGATGAGAGAGGGTGGGAGGGATGAGAGAGAGAGAAAGAGAGAGAGAGAGAGAGACAGAGAAGTGTGCAAATCTAATTGCTAACCTGTCCATTGAGACAGCCTCCAACAATGATATTGGGATCATTTGGAGAAAACTCAAAGCAATAAACATCTTCAGGGCACTCCAGCATCAGCTAGAAGTAACATTGGGGGAGAGGAAGAGCTCTATCAATTTTGAACACAATTTTCACAAAGTAAAGGGATTGCATCTTTGTTGGTTAAACAATGTTCAGAAATAGTCAAGTCGTTAAAAACAGAGAATACCTGAGGATGAATGGGGTCAGCAAAACTCCAGAACAGAATTGGGGCTTTCCATAAGAGCAATTTCCCAGACTGAGCTACTCGTTCCTCATAAGAGAGGCGCTCCGTCACTGCTACAACAATTATTCCTGAATGAAGACAATATATACTGTGTTTCCCCCAAAATAAGACCCGGTCTTATTTTCTTTTGATCCCTCAAAAAAAACAGCTAGGGTTTCTTTTCAGGGGTGTCTTAATTTTTTTGAGGTGCAGGAGGCTGCAAGCATGGTCACCTCATGGCTGCTCAGCCCCTTCATCGCGGCCCACCAATCTGCGGGCCATGATTAAGGAGCCAAGCAGCCATGAGGTAACTGGGGAAGGGAAGGGCTGCCTCCTGTGCTGGCCATGCCCACCCCCTTCACTAGGGCTTATTTTGGGGGCAGGGCTTATATTAGGCCCACCCCCCCAAAAAAATCAGGCTAGGACTTATTTTCGGGCTAGGTCTTCTTTTCAGGGAAAGACAAACACACACACACACATGTAGGTAGGCGGACAGGTAGGTAGGTATTCAGGATAGTAGAATAGAAAAATATTTATGTTGGTGAAGATTGCATTTCCTTACACCCCCCCACCCTCTTTTTTGCAATTGTTCAATAGTCAAAGTTGAAAGGCTTGGGGATATGATGTTATCCTTGGTGAACCACTTGAGCCAGTGCTAAGATTTTCAATCATAGACACTAATTTTTGGGAAGTTTATTGCATTTACCTCTTTTCTCTCTTTTCTTGATTTTTTTTAAACAACAAAAATAGTATTATTGCTATAATACTATAGTTGCTGATCATCCCAAATTTAAAGGTTTCCACTCTTTTAGAAAAGGCTTTCTCCAGATTTTACACAACTTCTCTCAGTATTCATCAAATGTTTTAGAAGAGGTGCACATAATCAGCCAACACTCCTCCCTAGTTAGGACGGTGATTCCAATTCCACAGTATTATCAATTATCTACTAAAATATTTCAAATGCTTTTCTTGCTGCGCTTCCTGACTGCTTTTTCAGATAACAGAATAGATAAAATACAAGAGCCGCTACCTTTTAAAGATTTCCAGATACCCATCACAATTGTTGTAAATATGAACCTTTGTTTTGTAAACCTTACCATAAATGGTCGGGTGCCAGCAGACGCAGCTAACAGTTCTGTCCTTGAGATAATGCAGATCTGTAAAGGACTGATATTCCTTCATGGTAACATCAGATTTACCTGCAAAACCACTTTCTTCTTCTGCAAGAGCTTTCCAGTCATCGAAAAAAACATTCATGATTTCATTTTGTTGTAGAGCTATTTCAACTCTGTGGCAGGGGAAAATGAGAGAATGAGAGAGAGAGAGAGACAGAGAGAGAGAGAGGGAGGGAGGGAGAGAAAGAATGAGAAATTAAAATACTTGAGGGATTATCTACATTAGGCATCAATGGGTTCTGAGGAAAATTTGCAGGGTAAGGCCACCCTGCCAAGCATGTGGGTACCCTGCAAATGCCCTCACTATTTTGGGCTGTTATTGCCTGCAGCTGGTCCAGGTGTGTCCCCATCTGAGCAGGCAACCTGGTGTTTCCCTTTTAATTACTCCACTAGTAAATGGTCATCAGTAATGGGTCTGAATCAATCAATGCTTACCATAAACCATAAACCAGAAGTAGGGTTCTCCCCAGCCAGCTTATTGGCAGAGCTATGTAGAGATCCTTTTTTTTAAAAAAGGGATGTCTCATCAATTTAATAACTGCAAATCACGCGAAACTGACACTGCTCAAATTCAAGGAATGAATTCTGAAAAGTTGCATCTGTCACTAAAGCCGTGTAGAATGTGGATGGGTTTTTTGGGGGGGGTTGGGGTAGGGGGGTTGTTTGTATATTATTGCCTGCATCTCAGCACATTATATTAGTGGAACACAATACTAACCGTAAAGCCACAGACACGATAAAGTTTTTCAGCTCTTCCGATGACAAGTATACCTCTTTTTCATATTCTGTAAATTCTCTCGGGTAATATTGTGTCGTTGCATTTTTGGGATAGGTCCTAAAGCACATGAATTCCACTGTTTAAAACATGGGGAATGGGAGAAAAAGGACTTCCCAACATTAAAGGCTAGATATCATAATTTAAACGATGTTTGTTCTATAGTATCTACTAATTCTGCAGAATTTTGGAAATCACTCCACGGTATTAGTTGATGCTGTAGGGTTGAGGAAACATAGGCCAATCTAACCAAATAAGAGGGAGAAATATGGGCGCCATCTTTTTGTAGCACAATCAATTGTGGGTTCATTTGTTTGCTTTTTGTTTAAGATGATATGTGGTTTATAAAGCATGGTTTTCGTTTTAGTGCTAAATGCATATAGGAGCCATATAACTCATCCAACAAAATCTATTGGACTGATGCTCCTCTGATTGGTTAGATTTCAATTTCCATAATCCCCAGATGAAGACTCATTATCTATTTCCTTGGGCATGAGCCAGACCCTGAACTCACATAATATAGCAACCTTACTTAATTTAGGTAAATCTGTGTGTGATCAGTAACCACTGAATGGGCAGCCAACCTGAACTCCATTACGTTGTTCTGAATTCTATCATAGACAAAAGGCAGAATATAGATGAAATTAGTATATCTGAAATCTCTCATACACATTCTTTCTAGGTGAAAAAAAGTAGTTGTTATTCTCTTCCCCCCCAAAAAAATCCCCTCCTCCCACAAAAAAGGACACTCTTTTTTAAAACAAAAATGAAGAATTTTATACCATTTTGTCTGAGTTCCGGTATTTTCTTCTTCTGGAACTACCTGAACACCAATATGTTTCTCTAGCTGCCGAATGGTGAAGTTCTTATCTTGATAGGGCATACAATCCACATAGGCATGTTTGTCAAGTGTGGCATTTCTGTTTTGGAATTTAACCCGAATCCCAAATTCTTTGTGTGGCCGAGAAATCATATATTTAATCTGAAAATCCAATACAAATATTTCTTAGTGAAAGGATTGCTTTGGAGCAGTGTCAGTCCTAGGTGTCAGGATCTGATGGTTACATTATATGACTTGGCCTTTTTTGTGCTTCCTTTATGATCTGGTATTATATTTAAAATGATGCATTAATAGGACAGCTCAAAAGACATAAGGGGTCACTTTACAATAGGTCCATATGATCAGATAGATAACATTATGTGATGGGAATTTTAAAAAGAATTGCAATGAATTTTTTTCTTATCTCCCATGGATAGAACAACAGAACTTTCAGATCATATAGGACAACATACTCCATATACCAGAAGAAATATTTGCTATTTGTACTTTAAAATCATTTCAATCATAAAGGTACTCTTATATTTTTTCTGTGAAGTAAAATCCAACTGCAATAATATATTGCACATTGTTTCCTGTGTTATGCACTATACAATTAACAGCAAGTTTATTGACTCCCGTCAATAAAGTTGTCAGAAGTTAATTGACTACTATATATTCCTAAATTAGTATGCAAAGAAACATAGATGAATTTTGTAATTTTGATTATTGAACAACAATTCCACAAATGGCATGAACAGTAATCCATATTTGCCTAGGTAAATACTGTACTGTACTGTCTTTTTTCTTCCCTCCTTCTCTCTTTTTCTCGATCTCTGTTTCTCTCTTTCTTTTTTGATAAAGAGAAAGAAAGAAAGAAAGAAAGAAAGAAAGAAAGAAAGAAAGAAAGAAAGAAAGAAAGAAAGAAAGAAAGAAAGAAAGAAAGAAAGAAA